GACAAAGAAGTAAGAAGCTGTCCAATTTGTTCTGGAGACTTACAGTAGACTGATTGGTTTATCAAGCAAGCTTGAGAGTTTGTGAAAAATGTTCAGCCAGTCCATTTGTAGCAGGATGATAAGGAACCGATCGTATATGTTGAATTATACTGGAAACCAGGAACTTCTGAAACTCCTCTAAACAGAACTGAGGTCTACTATCTGTCACCAGCTGCAATGGTAGTCCAAAGTGACTAAGGCATGAAAATGCTAGATAGCTTGGGTAGCTGTAAAAGAGGATATTTTAAAAAACTTCTGTCCATTTAGAGTGTGCATTGGCTACTACTAGAAATAACTGGTCTTCTCTTGGCCCTGAAAAATCAACATGAATATGTGCCCATAGTGTCTGAGGCCATGACCAGGGTTTCAGATACGCAGGGCCATGATCTTGCTGAATTTGCTGACATGCAGCACAGAACTTTGTTGTTCTCTTCAGTATTTCTTTAAGGGCTACAAGTGCCTTCCTGACTGACTTGACCTCATTCCAATTTACCTTCTTCTTTTCAAGCCAAGATCTGCCAAACAAGTGTTGGATAATTTCCTTTAATCACATGCAAAGATAAATTAATGGACTGTCCATGTAATTAAGTTGTCACCTGAAATACCCCTTCTGGGACCACCTTTCCCCCAGTGTAAGTCTTCAGAAGCACGAAGTTTTTCTCCAAAGGTATCTGTGTCAAGGGCTGTTCATACCATTCTGATAGGGATGCCTTCAATTAAGAGCATCTCCCCAGTGCCATCTCTTACCTGCCATCTCTTACGCTGCATCTCCATGGCAACCTTTCTATGGCCTTTTTAAATGCAAGAGTTGGCACAGTGAATAACTTCTTTCAGATTTGGTCATTGTGCAACCCTGAAACAAACTGATCTTGTAGGGCATTGCTCAGCACTTCAAACTGACAGAAGAGCTCTGACACCTTTTTTAAAGTAAAGTAGTGGCAAACTGTATTATTGACTCCCCATATCCTCTGAGTTCATTGGGGGAACTGGTAGTGTTCTACTATTATTGATGGGGTAGGGGAGAAATATTCTGCCATTGTTGCAGTAAGTTTTACATAGGCAGCCTGCCCTGGCAAGGTTGGAGAACAAAGGGCCCATAGTAGGCCATGTGACCTGGCATCTGTCACCATCAGCAAGATTGCAAACCACCATCCTTCTGAAACTGAGTTGCAGGAGACTGCTTGAAATGTTCAAGATACACTACTCAAGTCTTGGTTTTCATCAAATTCACCAATATGGCCTATACGAGTGGCCATTTCTCTCTTTTTTGTTTTCTTTTTTGGCCTGTCCACACTTGATCTCCCTTTGCTGACAAAATTCCTTCAGTGCAGGCTGCACGATAGTTACTCTAGGCTGGAAAATAACATGGCAGCTTTCCCCTCCTGCACCTTCCCCTGCTGTATTTCTACGGTGATTGCATTGCATGCACTTTAGTATAATTTTGCCACACTTATTTCTCTTGACAACTTTTCTATGGTGATTACTGTATCACCATGGGCCTAACTGGGTTCTTATAGGAAATCTCGTTTGTGCATATATAGTAATATAAATGTACTAGTCAATTGCCCTTCAAGAATGACGGGGGGATGGGTGGGGATGGGGCACCGCCACTCAACACCCCGCACTGTTGCCACTCTGCCTCTAGCCTCGTTCGCCCCCCTCAACCCTCCACATGTGGCCCTGTGTGAGGCTGCTCTACTGCCATCACCTGAAGGGAGGAGGGAGGGGGCAGGGGGGAGAGGCCAGTGGTGCTGGCCTCGTCCCCACTCTGTTCCAACCATCATGGAGTCCATGCCACTGCCACTGTTTCCTGTCCGGAATGCTACTGGAGCACTCTGATTGGTTGTTTCAGACAACCAATCAGAGTGCAAATAAAGCATTATGGACAGACAGACTAAGACTTTTATAATATTAGAATTTTCTTACTGCTCTGTGTCATGTAGACTGTGGCTCTGTTCACCAATACAAATGAAAATCCTGCCCTCATTACCAAAACTGTGGCTTGTCACTCCCCATCCATGGAGAGATTACACTCACCCAGGACAAAGAGAGAGAGAGAGCACCACACAACTTACATGGGTAGTAACTTTACTGTTACTCAGGGGCCCCACCATGCTGCTGTTAGGAGCTCCACACTCTGCAAGTCTCAGGCTTGTCCTCCTTGACTGGCTCAAGCTCAGAGCTTAGATAGCTTGGGCGTGACTCCTCTTTCGGTCATATGATGCCCCAGTCAGTTGACCTGACAACAGAGCTGTCCCTTAAGCCCCTGCTCTGGTGGCTGCATGTGCTATAAAGACTCTGCCCTTAAAGATCATATCTGGGAATGGGTAGGAGTGGAAAAGAGACAGAGAAGAGCTGATCTACATTATGAGCAGCTCCCCAGTCTAACTCACGATGTTTCACAGAAAGCATCATGAGTTAAACCGACCCAACCAATCCAAAAGACATTTGCTGATCCATTGGGAGGCTGTGTGATTGAGCTCCCCTTTGGACTTCACTGGGGGAAAGAGGCTGCATGTCTGCAGCCTTTGTTCTCTAGCCTCATCCCCCTTTCCATGCTCCTGTGCTCTCTCAGGATAGGAGGGAGGAAGGTAGGGGAGTGAGTTCAGACTGGGGTTTCTCCAGCCAGGTTGGAGTTGGGGAGGAAAGCGGGTGGCTGTGGATTGGAGCCCCCCATCCCCCCAATCTTTGGGGTGGGAGGCTCCAGTCCACCCACCCTATCCTCCAGCACTGTCTGGGGAACCCACAGACTGAACTCACTCCATTCCCTTCCCCTCCTTCCATCCTGAAGACGGCTCATGAAGCAGAGCTAGGCTGCATCAGCCCAGCCCTTCTCAGGCAGACATTAATGAAGGCACTTTGCTTTGGAGAGCCTTCATCTGAATTTAGTGAGGGTTCAGATTGTCACATAATTGGGCATTTTAAAGTGTTCTGCAGCCATACACTTCTGGCAGAGCACTTTCAGTGGCCAATCATGTGACCAATGGTTGTATCTGTTAGTGCCTCACATGTTCTCCCTTCCATTCTGACCAAAGATGCTGTTTATGCATCTCCGCAACATCATGACCTGCCACTGTGGCAGGAATGACAGAATTCAGTCTGCTGCTTGAGTATAACTTGCATGTATATTACAAGGTATAACCTGAACCTGTTCTTAGCAGGTCAGTTTCCTGTTAGAAACAAAACTGCCCTTTCCAGTTTTGTAGGAAACTTCTGGCTTATGCAGTACACCCAGAGCCATTAGCTATAATGGTGTAATTGGCACAAGCTGAAGAATGTCCTCAGTAAAAACTTCATAGTTTCTGAGACTGCTCCTTGGAAAGTGGCAGGTTCCTCCATGCTGGAGGGATCAATACTTTTCAGCTGACTACATCATTCGTAACTTTTTGCTGTGCGGTAGGAATGAGGACGATAAAAGCAAAGATGGATGTTATTTTGGCTCTGCTTTTATTCTGAATTATTTATTGGAAAGTCTTTGTTGTCTTCCTTTTAGTCAGGAAACAAAATGTCTTTGTTCTGTTGCTTTTCCTATTAAAAGAAACAAGGTCGGCTTAGTTTTATTTCACTTACCTCTTGTTGTATGATGGTGTAGTCTAAACAGACTGTCACCATCATTTCATGGGGTTCTGTCTTGCTTAATGCCAGCAAAGATCTCATTGACCTTGGTGGGTGTTTTGTCTGGGTCATGAATCAGGCTTTATATTAATGGTACATTTATCAATGTTATATAAAGCATAAAAAGATAGACATTTTTGCACATTACAGATATAAGTTGTATATGTAATACATAGTTACAAACACATGAGTAGAAGGTATAGAAATCCTACATGTAGCTTACCGAGTTTTGGGGCTTGTTAACCATATAATAAAGCATTTCTTAACTATTTAGTTATCCTACTTTTAAACATGCCCATCATGTAAAGTATGATGGGATCAGGATTGTACCGCTGGATCCAATATTAATACATGATTGAAACTAATAACTTCCTTTAATGCTTGTCTTTTTAATTCTAGGTTTGCCTGAGGCAGAGAATAAAGAAACTGGCCACCAAGATGGTAATCACTAGTGGAAATGAAGAAGATAAAGGCAATCAAGAAAAGGAGAGCAAAGAAGAAAGCATTTTGGCAATGCTTGGGATTATTGGGACCATTCTGAACCTCGTTGTGATCATTTTCGTGTATATTTACACAACATTGTGAACTTTGGCATACAAAGAGAATAGACAAAACAACTGTGAAAGGTGACAACAAAAATGGCAGGTTATTGACATGCTGTTTAATCAGAATTGACTCTGTACTACATTAACACATCATAAAAGCACTGCCTGTGGGCAGCAAAAGATGAAGCACAATTAATTTAACAAGAATTTTCCACACAGTAGCGAGTTTACTCTTCTGTCTTGGCCCTATCCATGTCTGTTTTTGGTTTGGGGGGAAATGACTGCAATTACGTAAGTTTCAGCTTGAAGAAATCCACCTGGGATATGTAGTGTCACACAATAGAAAGAGACTGTATGCTATATACAGCTATATACAAATGTATACTATATGCTCTCAAAGATCTAACTCAAAGATAGCTGCATAGCACAGCTTTTTTGTCTATTAGGTCAAACAATTCCTTTTTTTCTCCCTGACTTTAATTTTGTTTACACTGAAGCTGACAAGCTTTTTATTTAGAAGGACCATATGGTACAATCACGGAAAAACAATTCCATTGAGCAAGATCTGCCTGAAAATGATGACATGTTGGGAGAAATAACTTACATGATTATTTTTCTTTCTCGTTTGCTTGACATCTGTGTCTGTTCATACCAATGTTTATAAATATATATTTTTAATAAATGTGCTATATTTTTAGCATGAAACAACTATTTGGAGACACTCTTGTATTCATACATCCAGATTTTGTTTGATGAAGTGCCCTTTTTGACAATGGATGTTATGCTCTTCAGCAATTAGATAGCAATCCTATTTGCAGCCATTTCATTTTGGTCTAAAGCAAACTGTCATCATGCTCATATGCATGACTTGAAGTTGGAATGTCATCTGAAAAGCATTGCTTTTTAATATGAGAGACAGGAAAACATTATAAGGTGACCTTTGTAGAAGGGTTGCAGAGACATGGCTCTATTTATAGAAAAATGACAAATAAAAGAATAGTAGGATATCTAACAAATCCACAAAATACTGGCTTCTCAAAACCCTATCACATTTAATAAATACCAGCATGGGGAGAAGATAAAGGTTCTTTAATGGAACAGTTCAAGGCATAACGGGAACCAGTGGCTGGGAGCTGAAGGTAGATAAATTCAAACTAGAAATAAAGGAACTTTTTTTTTAACCTGCGAAGTTAACCTTTTACATTTAATTGGCCAAAGAATGTCTGTCTAAAAACCATGCCCTGGCTCAACCTAAAGTTATGGCCTTGACGCAGGACCCACATGACAAAAATCTGTGATCTGTGTTTTGTAGAAGTTCACACAAGATCATAATTTTCCTTCTGAACATTATGATTCTATGGGTTGTTAAGAATTAGATCCCAATTCTGCTCTCACATACTTAGGTGCAGCCCCCACTGATTTAAGTATATTATCTGGGGGTATAACTACATTCTTAATAAGTTGGAAAATCAATTTGAACTGAATTATGGATCAAGGTGTATCCTCTGATATGTGTGTAGAACTCACATGAAAACAAATGAGAGTTGCTGTAGTGCCTGATCCAACGCTGGGTGTAATCCAGTGATTCTCAGCTGGATGCTGTAGAACTGTGGGATGCCATGAGACATTTCCAAGGGTGCATGTGGTTCCAGTTGCCTGTATGCAAGTTGCTGGAGGAGAAGCTGTGGCAGTGGGAGCTACTCTTGCCCCTTCAGGTGCAAACCGGGGCAGGGAGGGGGGAGAATGTGGACAAAGCAGGAAATGATGTGGTCATGTCCTGCTCCTGCCATCCTCACCTAGCACCAGCTAGATTTTAGCTCAGTGTTTCACAACAGGGTACATGAAT